ATAATAATAATAATAATAATAATAATAATAATAATAATAATAATAATAATAAAAATAACCTAGCAAAGCTTGACCTATGTGTTTCGGATTCGAGTTGCATGTTTCGAAACTATTTAAAGTGTTTAACATAAGTCTCTAAACATTAAGTGAACTTTCCATTTCACTTCAGTGCTTTGTGAAAATATCAGTTCTTGGACGCGAAGAGTACCCAATGCACGTGTTCGCAGGTGAAGGAGGGGCAGCCGCTGGCGGAGCGGTACCCGTTCCTCTTCCAGACGGCGCGCGCCACGGACTCGTACCAGCAGCTGGTGGAGCGCGGGCTGCCGCAGCTGGCGCGCTTCCTGGAGCGGCGGCCGGGCATGGAGCAGGTGCGTGCGTCAAGCGCTTTCCAAAGAAACTGCCCGCTTAGAGCACCCCGATCGGACGATTGTGAGGCGCTAGACAGCACCGACTTATTTTTTAACACTTCTACAAACAACTCGCATTCTTTTGCGATTCCGATTCAAACCCGAGCTTCCATACGCGCGAGTCGACATGCTATACCCCAAACATATTACAGTGCATCGGGCAGATAAACAAACAACTAGCCTTAGAAAAAAGCCAGCAAGTTGATGCACCGTGTATTCGCATACCGTGCCGCTTGAGCGCGCGCGGAGAGACTAACGGCTGTTTGCGTGTGGTGGGCAGGTGCTGGCGGCGTTGTCGGCGCTGCGGCCGGCCACCAAGGAGGTGATCGCGTCGCTGCTGGCGCCGCAGGAGCCCCTGGCGCTCATCACGCACACCGACTTCTGGTGCAACAACCTGCTGTTCCGGGAGGAGCGGCGCGCCTCGGAGCGGGGCGAGGAGTCGGCGCTGGGCGAGGAGGAGGAGGGCGAGGGCGACGGCGAGGCCGAGGGCGAGTGCACGTGCGCCGTGCTGGACTGGCAGATGGTGACGTACAGCCGCCCCACCAACGACGTGGCGCTGCTGCTCATCAGCTCGCTGCCCACGGAGCTGCGGCGGCGGTGCGCGCCCGCGCTGCTGGACGGCTACTGGGCGTCGCTGACGCGCGCCGCCGCCGCGCTGGGCGTGCGCGTCGAGGAGGAGCTGGGCTACGACCGCGCGCGCCTCGCGCTCGACTACCGCCGCTCGCAGCTGCTGGCGCTGCTGCTGTGCGTGGGGTCGGTGGACGTGGCGCTGGGCGACCCGCGCACCGAGCAGCGCCTGCTCGACGTGCTCGCCGACCTGCACCGCGACGGCGTGCTCGACGCCGCCGTCGCCGCGCAGTGAGCCTCCTCGCCGCCCACAACGAAGCTTCCTAGGCCGAGCACTGCACGCACACGGTCGCAGCCACGGGCCCCAGCCATCCGCGCCCGCGCCTTCTGCCGCGGTCTACGCTTCATGTAATTCTGGTTTGTTTTTGTTGTTGTTTTCGCAACGAACCATCAAATGGCATTCTTTACGACGTCCTCTTACTTCTCTTGATGGCAAAAGTTTTCAGCCGCTTCATTAACTTTCATTCTTTTCTACTACTACCTACTACAGTTCGTTAGTCTGATGAGTTCAAATGACAGCATGGAAGCAGTGAAACATTCATGTGAACAATTTGTGAAGTGGATTCCCCATTAAAAATATTGACGCCAAAATGATGGAAGTGCTTCGAAGCTGAATAAAACACCACGAAAGATGCACCATAGTCTCCGAATACAAATATCTAGAATTACTCAACGACAGGAATTATTTATAAATACACCATATGTACCTAGTTATTTTCAAAGAAGTGACTTACATAGTTTTATGCCAAGCCAAACCATAAGCAATCAATAAAATTTTAAGTAATTACACAGTAAAACCCGTCTACGACAGAAACTCAAGACGGAACTTGCCTTTGAGACAAAAAAATCAAACAATGGATCGATTTTGTACGTGAAAATGGCTTCTGTATCCCAGAAACTTGTCAATGGAGTGGAGAATCGCAATTCGTTATAACCTGGGTAAGAAGGAAATTTATAGTTAAACTTTCAGTATTATCTTTGGATATGCACAGCGTGAAAGGTTACGTCGTATGAGAACAAACTAATCGACGAATTTTCCCCTTTCTACCTGCTGTCGGAGGCATTTCGACAACACCTTTCCGAAAACTCTTATAAAAAATTTCGCCTTTGTCCGAATGAATTCTACTGTATGCCTTGCGAAATAAAAGCATGTGCTTGAATTTTCTTTTGTATGCTTTCAACTGACTCCTTTCTTCTCTGCGTCCCAATGCTTTCATGGTCATGTTCCGTGTTCGACGGGTTATACTGTAAAGTTGAAAAGTCTTCAGACCTTGGAACTTTAAATGAACGACTGGTCTATGTTTTTCACATTTTAAAGAAAATGATTGCGTTTATTGGGCCTTAATTTGGATTTCTATAGTCAAATGCCACTGTGATAGTGTTATGCCTTTGTGTTGTGATTTGGGACGTGGTTGTCTGACAGACTAGTTCGTTCAAAACGTTAAAATATGTATCATCATCATCATCATCATCATCATCATCAATAATTCAGAATAAGATACATCAATAAATGCTACCGAACATTTAATCTTCAGTAATCTCTAAATCGTGGGTGGAAAACAGTCTTTCTTTCTTAGTCGAAGTGAACCATGTAACCAGTAGTCCAAACAATTAGCATTCATTAAAATTTCTCGTTATTTACACCTTATATTCAATAAAGGTGTCTCTCACCTTTAGCTTTTTCTCATACGACACATACGTAATGTTACTGAAATACTTTTATATTTACAAGAAATGTAATGTGCGAAATATGCCCTAAGGTTGATATGAAGGTACACACGCTTGTTACGAAAACCTACAAGAACGAACATGGTGTGTTATTTAAAGGTATCAGATTTAGGCTCTCAGTTGAAAACAGAGATTTCTGACATATTATCTACGGTAAGTTATCAGTGAAGTGGCATTCTTTATCTCGAAAATGCCGGGCTTTCGTCATCATTCTTCGTTCCTGGTGGTTGTCCAGCTGCACAGATATGGATAACACTTACGAAATTTTCTTTCCCTCTTTATCACTTCGATATTGCAAATGGATAAAGCATGACGAAAACATAGACAATTTTTACAGAATTTGGTCGTTATTTTGTATTCTTCTATCATCAATTGATATAATCTATAACTGCAAAATTGTATGACTATTTGGCCTTCTGTATTGCCAATAATAACATGGGACCCATCAATAAATCTACAACACGACAGATATAACGACTTTTTCCCGGGCGTCTCTCGGGGGAAGCTGTACATCAATAAGCAAACGAAATCAGTAATGCAATTTTGAAGCAACTTAAGTCATTTCTTGCGTTTATATTAATGATGGTAGATTGGCGAGAGTAGTGGTTACCAAAAAAGCAGTTTTTAACATCAACAATTGCAATTGTGCTTACACGAAGCTAATACAATTGAATACACCTCTGGGGGATGATTTGCATATTCTTTCTCACGCACTGAACACTAGCGCTCGTAGAACTACTGGGGCAATATCACATATTTTCCCGCATTATTTATTATAGCTTTTACAATTTCCGCAAATCCAGAAAGCCCAACAAAAAATAGGCCTGCAGCATTATGTAAACGTCCTGTAAGTGAAAATTAAAAAAAATGTGGAAAAACCCATTTGGGGGCGGTTTTGAGAAAAACATGCATTAACTTCTAGCAGAGTTTATACGAAATCTACTATTTTTATAAAAAAAATATTATGTATTACCTTTTGTAAAGGTCTAATTTTGAAAATATTTAAGAAAAAAACCCTCTATAATCAATATTGAACTTTTGCTACATGAATTTTTGCAATTTTGAAAAAGGTAGGGGGCACCGAAAATGGGACCACACATTGTTCTGTTCTTTGATACACAAGAGGAAAATATTTAACGAAACATTTTGGAGTAGTTTTGAAGAAAATAATTGCTTAAAAATGCCCATTTTTCACACAATATTAACTGGTAGTTACTCATATTTTCGACGAATTATTTATTTATTTATTTTAATGACATTATTTCAAGTTTTATTGTTGTCAACAGATTTCATTAAGGAAGCAATCTCCATTTTCAATATTGTTATTGCAAGATTCTGTTTTTTCAACTTCCGCGTTTTCGAAAATATAAAGATTTTAATAAAAATGAGTTATGTAAAATTTTTAAGCGTCCTTTAGGCTCCCAACGGACACAGTTTAGAAGAAAATGTAGATCACCTTTTTGAGTAGCTTTTGAAAATGTTAAGTCTTCTTGTGAAGTAGCCCCCAAAATCAAATTATCTTTTTAATAACCCCGGAGCCCGTAGATTGATCGCAAAATATCTATTTTGAGGAGTCGTCTGAACGGTTTATGCGCTAGCACTTATTATGACCGTATAATCGCACGGGAGGGCGGAAAGTCAGATGGATGGACGGATATGCATAGAGACAGACAGACGGAGGGACGGACAGGCAGACAGACGGACGGACGGATAAATAGACAGACGAACGGACGGACAAACAGACGGACGGACGGACAAACAGACGAACAACCAGACGAACGGACGGACAAACAGCCGAACGGACGAACAACCAGACGAACGGACGGACAAACAGCCGAACGGACGGACAAACAGCCGAACGGACGGACGTTTTGCCGTAATCGATTTTACTGTCTTACATACCCATAAAACGAGTATTCTGAGTGCAGAATATGTGAGAGGAAATAATTCACTCATAGGAAGATTTATTCTCGTTTCCGTAATAACGATCTGTTAATTCTCGACAAATTGGCGATTCCCGTAGCACCTACGATTGCTTCCTCGACTCCATTCGACCGCAATTGCACGTGTCCACGCCAGAGCCTGGTGGCAGATACTTTCAAACAGGTGTATTACATTAGAAAATAGTCATATTTTGAGTTATTGAAAATGTAATGCAAAGCAGCAAAGCTTAATTGTTCTTATAAGAAATACAGTTCAAACGCGATTCGCTACACTCAATATTATTACACTTTGCAGAATGAAAACGCCCTTTGCTTGCGCGCAGGCCAGCTGGGCTTGCTTTCCCCTGTGCCCTGACTTCCACGTTTAACGGCCGGCTCTGCTGTTTGATGGCAACGTTTCTCTCCTGGACAAAGAAGCCTAAAAGCTGCGTAACCCTCCGCTGCGCCGGTCCCCGGAGCCCTTCACCGCCTTTGCAGCACCCCTCATAAACTAACGATCCACAAAACGCATCAAAGCGAAAATTTGCCATTCAGATAGTGACCAGTTTAAACAGCACTCTAGAAAATCCTTAAAAGCTCTCCCTCTCAACAAATTAAGTCACCCCCCTAATTTGAAAAGATCGCGCGTGTCCATTTTCAGATCATGTTTAAAACGAACACTAT